TCCTTCCTTCCTTCCTTCCTTCCTTCCTTCCTTCCTCTCTCTCTCTCTCTCTTTCTTTCTTTCTTTCTTTTTCTTTCTTTCTTTTTTTTTGTCTTTCAGTGTCTCACGTTGTTGTACAGACCAGGTCTGGACTTCAACTTTTGGCAATCCTCCTGTCTCAGCCTCTCAAGTGCTGGGATTACAGACATAAGTCATGCCTAACTATTTATAAAGTTGTAATGGTGAAATGAGAGAGAACAGCATATAACAGAGTGCACTATATCTAGTACTCTGAAAAAAAAGTAATACTTCTTATTTATCCATGGTGAATCCATAGAGTTAGTGCTGATCACTTAGAACTATGGCAAAAGACCTTACCTTTTATGACATTCTTGGGGTACCTAGGAGTTTCTGGTAAGAAACTGATAGCTACTATGTTGATAATCAAGAGCATAATTTGAAGTCATACATAGATCATAATGGGAAATGCCTACCGAAAGGTACAGTAGAGCAAAAAGTTTGTTTCTAGGCTCAAGTGTATGGTTATTGAAAAATTGATGACCTTTACTCCAAATGAATTGATAGTTGAGCATTAAATCTTTTTTTAAATTTTTTTATTTTTATTTATTTGTTTTATTTATTATTTATTTATTCATTCATTTATTTATTTATTGGTCTTTTTGAGACAGGTTCTCCCTGTAGCCCCAGCTGATCTGGAACCCACAGAGATCCACCTGCCTCTGCCTCCTGAGTGCTGGGATTAAAGGTGTGTGCCACTATGCCTGGCTGAGCATTAAATCTTTAGAGCTAAAAATACACAGACATTCTCAGCCTCAAGGACTCCTCGGTAGTTCCAAGTCCTGTTCTTGTTTTAGCTGAAGTCGATGAACCACAGGGATTATAAATGCCTCAAAATGCTTGGGTGTCCAAAGATACCATAAAGTATGCCTCACATAAACTCATGGGTACATGAAAATTATTAGGTTCTTGTTTCTTTATTATACTTTTTCATTATTAAATAAACTTTTAATTATCTGATAGGAAGATAAAATGGTGTCATTTCCCTAAAAACTTAATTTGATAACTTAATTTTCTAAGTAACAGAAGAACCAGTAAGTTTGGTGTAATGTTTTATTTTTAACTTGTCACTTGCTCATGTCCTTACTTTTTCTCTATCTAGTTACAGATTTTCTCTTACTATTCCTTTATCGATTATTGATGTCAGATTCACAGCATGGTAATTTTCTATTCTCTCTTTCCACCTTTTTGGAAGATCAGTACTACACTTGCTTTTTTCCAGTCTTCTGGTATCTCTCCAGTTCTTGAATTTTCAAAAACAATTGTAAGTGATTCAATTGTAAGTATGCCCTATACTTATTTACTTTTCATTTAGATGCGTTTTCTTTGGTTAAAATTTTAAGCTGTTTTCCCTTTTAGTATTCTATTGCTAATAACTTATTATTATTTTGGACTTTCTATGAAGACTTACATAAATAATTTATTTCTAATGTTTTCCTTTAAAAACTTTATTTTGAGGCAGGGTTTAGTATAGCTCAGGCTGACCTCAAACTTCTGATTCTCCTCCCTCTACTTCCCAAATGCTGGGCTATAGGCCTGTGCCTCCACACCTGGCCTCCTATTCTCTTTTTGCAACATATTTTTTATTATATACATTTTATTCGTTTTATGTTCTGTTTGAGAAAAAGGTACTGCATATAATAAACTCCTTTAAGTTTTCACTAAGAAATAAGATTTGTTTGGAAAATAACCCATTTGTCAAGTTCTTTCACAGTGTTCAGCCTGCCTGTTCTGTTTTTCTCGGTTCCTTAAAATAACTACCCATCAATTTCTTAATTACTATTTTGGTCTCAAGAAGACCATAAACTGGCCACTTTTACCTTCTCCACTCTCTGCAGGAATTACCTTAAAGGCTTTTACTGTCTGTCTCAAAAGTTGTTTCCTATATTGTCTTAATAGGGAGTGTCTCCAAAGCATGTTCTTTAGAGAGCTTGGAGGACTAACCGTGCAGTACTTTTTATTGGGGGTGAAACATTCTGTTATGTGTTAAGTATAAGTTTAGTGTCTCAACTAAAATCATTAATAGGAACTGATTTAATTTTGCTGACAAGTTAGCTTTTAGGTGTCTTCCAAGAAGATCAGACTGGTCCTGTGTATTAAAAAGAGCAGGAAGTGCTGATATATCTTTGAGGCAGTATAGTATATTTTTTTTTAAGTGAAAAAAATGGGCCCAATTTCTTTTTCTTTTTTTCTTTCTCTCTACTATACTGAATAGTTTCCAGCTGATGGAGAAGCATGTGTTTTTCTAATTTTCTGTGTCTACTTTAGCTTGCTTTGTTAGCACAATAATATCCTTGAAAACTAGAGATTTCTGTTTTTATCATTATCTGCCCCATAACTTTTTAAAAACATAGATTTCTAATCTTTATGGTTAAATTGAATTTAATTTCTAAGATTTTGTTATATTTTATTTTCTTTGCTGTATCTCAGACCATTTTTGTTTCTCTGTAGCTGCTGTTTAAACATCTTAAATTTTGTTTTTGTGTTTTTTGAGAGTCTGACTGGCCCGAACTCTTGATTCTCGTTCTGAGTACTGAGATTATTGGCTGCACCACCAAGGCCTAGTTTAGTTAAAATGTAAAAAGAATTCTATACAAACTGTAAAATAACAGAATGGTAGTACATCAGTATAGTAACTAGGGAGCAGCAACCTCTTTGGTCCCGATTGCCAGTAATGCAAGATAGTCACTTCAGCTACTGCTGGGGGACATGGGCAAGAGAAGAAAGGAACGAGGGAGCCGGGAACGGAAAGAGAAACTGAAGAGAAATGCAGGAGGAGCATGGGGCGCAGTCGTTGACACTTGTTCAGCCAGTGTACATGTGCTCATCTAACACTGAGATTGCACTGCAGGTGCTGATGAGTGAATGGCAGTCCTGCCCTCTATACCATCCTTCAAAGTAATAAGTATCATAAACAGATATGCTCAGTGTTGGATAGGGCAAGTGCAGAGTAGTGGAAGATTAAAAAAACTCAAGGGGCTGGAGAGATGGCTCAGCAGTTAAGAGCACTGACTGCTCTTGCAGAGGACCTGGGTTCGATTCCCAGTACCCACATGGCAGCTACAAACCGTCCTTAACTCCAGTTCCAGGGGAATCGGACACCCTCTTCTGACCTCTGTGGCATTGCACGACACAGGGGCACTCACATACACGCAGGTAATACACTCATATACATAAATTAAAAATAATAAAATACTTTTTAAAAACTCGATTAAAAAGGACTAATATGAATCAGTAGTGCTTTACCACTCTAAATGTTGAATGGAAAGAGGGACAGATCTGTAATACTTCAAGACAGTTGTTAGAATATTTTTATGTGTGTGTGTGAATATGTGTGTCTGAGAGAGAGAGAGAGAGAGAGAGAGAGAGAGAGAGAGAGAGAGAGAGAGAGAGAGGAGAGAGTGTTCACGTGCATCACATGCATGCAAGTGCCAGTGAAGGCCAGAAGAGGGCATTGGATCCCCAGGAACTGGAGTTTCAGGCAGTTGTGAGCCAGAATGTGGGTGCTGGGAACTGAACCTGCTCAGTAAGTGCCCTTAACTGCTAAGCCATGTCTCCAGCCCTGACAGTTTTTATAAAATAGTCTATCATTTCATGAAATAAGCAAAGACATCACATACATTGTCTGTGAGTGGGAAGTTGGAGTAGCTGGCAGTAGTGAAACTTGTACATTCTTAGTAGATTTGATAAAAGTTTAATTACATCACCTGCTCCTCCATGCTACTGATACATTTGTATATCTTATTTTATTGGTTGTAGCTGAGTTAACTCTAGAATTCCTTTTTAAACACACCTGCAATTTTGGATTATTGTATGAGGATTGTCAGGCCAGATCTGGGATTTTAGACTGGTGACTGTCAATAGAAACTTCCCCATAAGGATTCTATAAAGAAATATGATTAATAAGATCTTTGTGGATGTTTATGAAGTCTGGAGTTTGCTCTGAAGGTGAAGGAATGTTGTGGAAAACTACCCAGAGGGAAACGTGAAAGGAGAGCCAAGTGAGGCATATAGATTCCAGCAACATCGGGTTATTTCTGAAGAATAATTTAAGTGGAGTTCGATTTGAAGAAGCTTAAATTCAATTTGTTTTTAGTAAGAACAGTGTATTTAACTGATTTTAACTTAGTCTTGATAGTTAAATCATTGGTAATTATGCTCTACTATTCTGAAACAAACAAAACAAGTATCCTTTCTATTTTCCTGTGGTGTAGTAGCATCAGAAGAACTTGTCCCTCTTTCTGTATTGTCTATGAAATGTGACATATTTACTATTTTCTACTCTGCTTATCAAATATCTCTAGTAGGACGTTGTCTGGGATATCTTTAAAAATGAAGACATTAACCGTAATTTTATTAAAATCTGGATTATGTTACATCTTATATTTTTCTTAGACTTTTTTTTTTTTTTTTTTTTTTAAGTTTTTGAGACAGGGTCTCCCTGTAGCCCCAGCTGGTCTGGAACTCATTATGTAGATCAAGCTGGCCTTGAACTCACAGAGATCCCCCTGCCTCTGCCTCCTGAGTGCTGGGATTAAAGGCATGCACCACCACGCCAGGCTTTAGAAGTTGTTTTTATATACAGTAACACCTATTGGGAAGGGATTTTTTTTTTTTCCAGGCATTCTCTTTGCATGCATGTGAAAAAATAAGGCAAGCTCTGTCACCTTTAAATTTGAAGAAGGAAATAATTACAAGTTAAATTGACTTTTCCCGTGGTCATAACAGGCTGGAATATTTGTAATATTTTGTTTCAAAATTTCAGTTTTGGTTTGAGAACAGCAGTGATAATAGTAATTGTGGTAGTATTTTCAGTAGATGTAGTGGTTGCTGCATTAGTAACAGGAGAGTTTAGGAGACAGTACTTTCGCTAAATACAAGCTAGAGACTAGGTCTGCCAGCCAATGGTTGTTCCATCTCCATTTGGTGTTTTGAGATTGGGTTGTAACATGCTTTAACAATGATGAAGTGTTATTATATATGCCAAGGTGAGGTATTGCTCTAATAGTTAAGAAACTTCAGTGTCAGTTTACTAAAATGGAGAACATGAGAGCAAGCAGTGTGCTTGGGCCAAAGGTGTGCAAGATGGGAAAAGGCTAAGTTGGAAGTGGGTATGGTGAACTCTCCCATCTATTGTCCTACTTAGTACACTTTGTGGTTGGGTTAGAATTCTGACAGTAGTTCCTCATGACAACTGGCCGTGTGGGCTAATACTGCAGGCTGGGAGTTTAGTTTTTTCCAGCTGTTTGATCTTTTACATCAAGGATTGGCTTCTTTTAGTCAGATAATTAAGAAGTTGATTTCTTCTGAGTAAAGTTAAAAAGAACATTTATGTTTTCTTGCAACTTAAGATATAGTTGTACCAAAAGTAGGCTATGCCATTGCTAGGCTCTTAAACCAAGAAATAAATGGGTCTTCTAAATAAATAAACATTTATACCATGCCTAGAGTATAGTGTTCATGCCAAGGATGAGAGTGAGTAGGGAACTTGATTAGGTGAGAACTGTCAGTTTCACTTGAAGTGGGCTATGTTTGAAGAGGTGAGGGTGTTTAGTTTTTCTCTCTGTGGAACCCAGGCTAGTTGTGACTTTACAGTTCTCTTCCTCCTGCCTCAGCTTTCCTAGTGCTGAGATTGCAAGTGTATACTGCTGTATTTGGCTTTCTTTTTTAATTTCTCCTTAATAAGGGAAGGGAGTGGAAAACTTCAGAGCTGATGGAGTAGATTAAGGAATGGGAGAACTAACCATTAGGAATATGAAGTTAAGATTCTGGGAACAACAGAATGAACTGGAAGAAAAATCAGATAATCTAGGATGTTTTTATAATCCTTTAGCTGAATCACTGTGGTTCTGGTGGTGAGTGGGAGCCAATTATGAGGAGTTTGTGGAAAATGGTTCTGAAGGACAGGAAACCATCTCCTTTGAACAGCAGTACATATACTTGATGAGCATGCTGGAGGCTGATGAGGGAAATTAACACACCGTTTTTCTTGGAGAATTTAATTTTTGTAAACCTACTTGTGTAACTATACTGTTTCTGTTTTGAAAATTGAAATATATGCATTTGTGAAGAATGAAGTGGGTTTTATACTATTAAACATTGCTTGGTTACCACTAGATTTATTGCGAACTTTCTTTTTCTCTAGGGTTTGGATTCAGGATTTGTGCCTAGTGTCCAAGACTTTGATAAGAAACTTACAGAGGCTGACGCTTACCTACAAATCTTGATAGAACAATTAAAGGTATGATATTAGTTACATGTTGTATTGATAATAGAGTAATAAACATCACTGAGCTGGACTTGGAGAAAGTTACTTAAGACCTTGGTTTGTTATTTTTCTTCCTTTAAATCTTTTGGGAAGGACTGCATTTTGACTTTGAAATTGATTTAAAAAGCACAGGTGCTAGTAAGAAAAAGAAATGTCGATTAAGTTAGCTGATAAAGGGAAAAAAAAACTTCTTTGGGTTTAATTTGATATTTTAAATTACTAAAACTCCACTGTGGCCGTATCTGTAATTCCAGCCCCTCAGACTGAAGCAGGAAGATCTCCAAGAGTTCAAGGCTAACCTGGACTATATAATTCCAGGGTAGCCTGAGCTACAAAGTGAGACCTTGTCTCTAAAACAAACAAAATGCCTATCAAGGGATGGGAGAGATGGCTTATTGATAAATTGCTTGCTGGGTGATCCTAAGGCTCTGAATTTGAATCTCCATCACCCACATAAAAGCTGTGGTCAGCATTGTGTTGCCTGCAACTTCAGCACTTGGGCAAGTTGGTGAGACAAGTGGATCCAGAGCTTGCTGGCCATCTAAATGGGTGAACTCCAGGTTCATTGAGAGACCCTGTCTCAAAAATTAAGGTTAGAGGAACAAAAGAAGATGGCCAGCCTGTCTCAGGCATCTGTATGGCACACACACGCACACACTCCACACATCAGAAAATAAAAATAAAAAAAATTAGCCGGGTGTGGTGGTGCACGCCTGTAGTCCCAGCACTTGGGAGGCAGAGGCAGGCGGATCTCTGTGAGTTCAAGGCCAGCCTGGTCTACATAGTGAGCTCCAGGACAGCTGGGGCTACAGGGAGACCCTGTCTCAAAAAAACAAAAACAAAAATTTAAAGTCACAAAAATGTTTTTGGAGAGATGACTCAGTAAGAGGGCGTGCTGAAAAAGCAAAGCACCCTGAGTTCAAATGTTCAGCACTCATGTAAAAACCCCAGCATTGCCACACATGGCTATAAACCCCAACATTGCAGGATGCAGGTGGGCAGATCCTGATAACTGGCTGGCCAGCCAGCCTACCCCAAAACTTCAAGCTTCAGGTTCAAGAAGAGTTCCACTCTTGGGGCTGGAGAGATGGCTCAGCGGTTAAGAGCGCTGGTTGCTTTTACAGAGGATCCAGGTCCAGTCCCCAGCACCAACGTGGCAGCTAACAGTCGTCCTTAACTACAGTTGCAACGGATCCATTGCCCTCTTCTGATCTCCTGATGCATGACATGGGCGCATCTACCTACATACAGGCACAAAATAAAATAATAAATAAAATATATAAACAAAGAGTTCCAGTCCTACAAAATAAAAGTGGAGAATGATAAAGGCGGACACTGGATGTCTGTCCTCCCTGGCTTCTACCTGCGTGTGCTCTGCAAGCACCCAAAAGTCACATTTTCCTTTGGCTCTAATTCTACCTTAGCATTTTTGATTTTGACAGTTCCCAGTCATTCATATAATGCAATGTGACTTAATATATTACCTTGAAAAATATTTTTGCTGCCTTGAAAATGCATATAAATCACCCATAGAAGAAATATTTAAGAAACTACGGTTTACTTCTCTATTTAGTAAATGTACCTCATACAGTAAAGTAGCTTAATTAAAATCATTTTTTTCATATCTTCTAGCTTTTTGATGACAAACTTCAAAACTGTAAAGATGATGAACAGAGAAAGGTAACTTCTGTAACTGTAATTTTAACTTAAAATTTTAAAATTGAAAACCTTTAAGAAAAATCATGGAAGTACCCCAGTATTTCAATTATAGCAATATTGTTGAAGCCAGAGTAAGTAAGGCACACCTATAATCCCAGAACTTGGAAGTTAATGACCAGCCTGGGGTACATAGCAAGATACTATGTAAAACAAAAGTTAAAACACCAAAAATGTGCCAGGCGTAGTGGTGCATGCCTTTAGTCCCAGCACAGGGGAGGCAGAGGCAGGCAGATCACTGTGAGTTCAAGGCCAGCCTGGTCTACATAATTGAGCTCTGAGCCAGTTGAGGCTACAGGGAGACCCTGTCTCAAAAAGACCCCCCCCTCAAAAAGCCACCAAAAATAGTATTATTGATCTATTATTAACAGTACTATCTTAATATGAACTGCAAGTGAACTTTTCTGAATTTCATGCAAATTTTAATATAATTCTGTTTGTGCAAGTACTACATGTCTAGAATTGAGTTCTTTTCTTATATATAATGTGTTGAAGGTAGGGAGTTGGTTATCAAATTTCCATGTGGTTACTTCAGATATAAATAAACCAAAGGAGAAATTTAAAGTAGAGAAGTGGTGTGTGAGGACACAGAGTTCTGCTGGTTTGGGTGGTTCTCCCTTGGATTTCTGACATGCACCTCATGGCTGGCGTGTTCTTTTCTCTTTCCTAATGAAGGCTTCCCTTCTTGGCTAGATTTCCTGATGTGGCATTTTTCTTGTTGTTTTTGCCTTCCTGTTGGCAGTAGCCTTACATTTTGCTCTGTTAACTTACTGATAGTAGTAATTTATGTTCCAAATCACCTTCCATTAATTTTTAGTTTTGAAATTTAGTTTTAGAACATTTTAAAAACAATTTAGGAAAGACAATTTTTGAAAAAAGGCAGATTAAGTCACTTTATGCAGTCTGTAAGAAAGATAAAATCTGTTTTCAAAGGAATGGAAATGTTTTCTGTTTTCTTACAAATCTGGAATTGCATGAATTTTAAGAGAGTATGATAAAAATATCTGTAAGCTTAAAATTTATTTGACTTAGATTAAAAAATAATGTATTTCCTGCCTAACTTGATTGCACGGACTTAGAATAAGGAATTTATTCTGGAAAACTCTTAAAGTGAATAACCACTAAAAACAGCAGTATCTGTTTGTGATTCTCATTATTTGTATTTAAAATTTATTTTTCACAGAAAGTTGAAACTCTCAAAGACACAACAAATGTAAGTTATATGTAAATTCCAACTTCACATTAGAAACTGCTTTTAAATGTTTCTTTTGGTTCGGTTTGGTTTTTTGAGACAGGGTCTTTTGTAGCCCCAGCTGACCTGGAAATTGCTATGTAGACCAGGCTGACCTGTATCTTGAAGCTGACCTGTATTCCGCAAACACCCCCCTGCCTCTTCCTCCCAAGTGCTAAGATTAAAGATGTGGGCCACCACACCCACCTCTAAATGTTTCTGTTTTAAGCTGCTGCTATAAATAAGAACATCTGATTACTTTGTTTTTATGAATTCTTATGAGGGTATTTGAGAATTATATCATTATCCAAAGGAACTTTTATACCCTATAGTAGAAATTGACTCCGTGTACCATTTTATTTATTTATGGTTTTGTTTGTCCGATATCTTTATATAAAAGGTGGCCTCTGTGTGTAAGTATAGGTTGAGTTAGGCACATAACATGTAATCCCAGCACTGGGAAGGTAGAGACAGAAGGATTAGGAGTTCAAGGCCCCAACCTTAGCTGCATAGTGAGCTCCAGGCCAGCCTGGGCTATATGATGTATGAGTCCCTGTCTCAAAAAGAAGGAAGGAAGGGAGGGGAGGGGAGGGGACAGAAAAGAAGGGAACGGGGAAGGGAAGGGGGAAAAGGGGAGAAAGGGGAAACAGGGTGGGGAGGGGAAAGGGGAGGAAAGAAGGGGAAGTCATTGGTGTCCTGTATCTGAAATGCTTAGAATCAGATGTTATTTCTAATTTTGGTGTTTTTAGATTTTGGAATGTATCTTGGCACATGCATAATGTATCTTGAGGTGGGGGCTCAAGTCTGAACATGAGATTCATTTATGTTTCTTAAATACCTTAACCACATAGTCTGAAGACTGCACATGAAGTCAGGATTTTGGAGCTCTTTGAATTAAGGATACTCAACCTATACATAAAATAGTGAGATTCAAGTTTTTTAACACACTGCTTTCTAAATTACCTAATAGACTACTAATGAGATTTGTATCTTGACAGAAGTATTTTTGAAATAGGCCAAATAACACTTCAGACTCATCAGTCTTCTGATAGGACCCTTTGCCCTGCATTCACAAGTCCTGCATCACACTTCAGGAATTGACATTGGCTTGGGCTTGTTGCCGTTGATCTAAAGAATTGAAGACTGACCAGACTCAGGGAAAACTATCATTCAGTTAAAACAGTATTTTTGCCGTTCCTTAACAAATGGTGGAATTGCCAGTGAATAACTTCTTGTGACATCAACAAATTAGAACTCAGCCAGATACCCAGAAGAGGGTATTTATTTGTTATGTAGTCTTTTCTCCCTTGCATGTTTGAACTGATTTTTATATTTTACATGTTAATATCCTATAACTATTTTATTTGCAGCAAGATCCTCAAATCAGTGTTTTGTTTTTATAGAGCATGGTAGAATCAATTAAACACTGCATTGTGTTGCTGCAGATTGCTAAAGTAAGTACATTATTATCTTCAACAGTTTATAATTTTAAAAATTAAAATGATATTTTTCTTTAATAGACATAAAACTCAGTTCTGAAACATTACCTTTCAACAATAAACTGAATTGTGGGACTCTTTAGGGCATTTGATCCCCAGCAACTGGAGTTACAGATGGTTGATAGCCACCATAGGGGTGTTGGGGGAATTGCGGGACTCTTAATGCTGTTGAACAACTATTGTGTTTGGATGTAATCTCACATACATGTGCCTGTTTCTGATGGTGGCTAGAAAAGAAGGGACTATGACTCATGGGACAGGGCTGTTTTGCAAAGTCCTTTACAAACTTTCTTTCCTTAGACAATAAAGGAATTAAGTTTTGGCAGTTATTTTTCTTATCTGCAGTGAAGAGTGTAATAGGTATACTTTTGAAATTTGTGTTTGATACAGCATTTTTGGATTCTGAACTATATTAGTTGAACCACTCATTAGTTATTGTTACTTAGGGAACAAAATACATTTAGAATTATTTTGAGTTAAAATATTCATGTATATTATCTGCTTTTCTGATTTTTTGTTTGTTTGTTTGTTTAAAAGCCCTCCTCCAGAGGCAGGTAGAGATCTCTGTGAGTTCAAGGCCAGACTAGTCTACATAATGGGTTCTAGGCCAGACAGGGCTATAGGGAGACCCAGTCTCAAAACAAAATAACAACAACAAAATTAAAAATCCTCCTCCCCCCTCCACTATTTTTACTTGTTATCTGTCCATCTCTGTCTCTAGCTAGTGGTGGCTAGAAAAGAAGGGACTAGCTTAGCAGGCAGGTTTGAAAATTAGTGGTCAGTTTTACTCATACATCTTTGTTTACCAAGTTACAAATATATTCTCTCTCTCTCTCTCTCTCTCTCTCTCTCTCTCTCTCTCTCTCTGCCTAGCATTATTGGTGACATAGTAGTTTAGGACAATCATTAACTTGTAAGTTGAAGAGTGAATTTTATTTTGAAGCCAGTCTCAATTGTTGGTATATTTAATGTGTCAGAACTCAAGACTTATATTCACTTTCTAGATATTCCTGACCACTGTGCTTGATTTCCTACATATATGTCTAATCTTTTCAAAATATTTTAAGCCAGGCATGGTGGTGCATGCCTTTAATCCCAGCACTTGGGAGGCAGAGGCAGGCCGATCTGTGAGTTCTAGGCCAGCCTGGTCTACATAGTGAGTTCTAGGCCCACTGGGGCTACATGGAGAACCCTGTCTCATAAAGACCAAAAACATTAAAAAAAATATTTTATTATTTTTATTTTATGTGTATGAGTGTATTGCCTGCATGTATATAAATGCACCCATGTTGTGCAATGCCTGCAGAGGTCAGAAGAGGGTGTCTGTTCTCTAGGAACTGGAGTTACAGATGATTGTTAGCTGCCATATGGGTGCTGGGAACTGAACCTGAGTCCTCTGCAAGAGCAGCCAGTACTCCTAACTGCTAAGCCATCTCTTCAGCCCCCAAAATGTATGTTAAAACTAAGAAGGGAAAGTACGTTGGAGGCATGAAATTCATGGTAAAGTTTTTGGTTTAGTTTTTCTTGGGTCTGAAACTACATGGGTGAATACAAAGCACCTTTACTTGCCTAGAGTGTGCATGGGGGTGGGGGAGGGGGAGTGTATACAGCTCACTAGTAAACTATAACCGCATCTGTGATGACGGAGAAAGTAAGAGCTCATAATTTATATATTTGTAGACCAGTTTGGGTTATCCCTGAAAATCATTCAGAACTTTAGATGGCTTGACTTTTATGTAGCCTTTTACTGGCTCAGTAGGTCTTTTTTTTTTTTTTTTTAACCATGCATCAAGAAATTAAAAAAAAAATCCTATTTATTTTATGTGTGTTTGTGTGCGGGTACATGTGTAGGTAGAGGTCAGAGGACAGCTTGTGGGAGTTGATTCTCCTTCCATTCAGTCTTCCATTGTATGGCTCTCAGAAACTCAAACTCAGGTCATCAGGCTTGGTAGCAAGTACCTTTACCCATTTAACCACATTCTAGCCCTCATCAGGAATGTGTTTGAGGCTGGGCATGGTGGCGCACGCCTTTAATCCTAGCGCACAGCGGGCAGAGGCAGGCGGATCTCTTGAGTCTAAGACCAGTCTGGTTTTTCATAGTGAGTTCCAGGCCAGCCAGGGATATAGGGAGATCCTGTCTCAAAAGAAATTAAAAAACAAAAAAAATTGCTGTGCTGTTCAAGGTCTTTTAGAGTGAATGAATAATACTGCTAAAGTCAAGTAATAGTTGGCTCTCTACTTGATTCCAGAAGGAGGTTTTGTGTTAAGGCCTTTGTCTATATAAATACAACTCTCAAAATATATTTGCGCCCTGTATGAACTGTATGTTTAACCCTAATTTCAGTGTAAGTCACACCGTATCAGTTGCCTGCTCAAATCTTTCTCTTGCTGTCCAGTTGTACTTGGAATGGAGCCTAAACGCCTTATAACAAGTACTGTTTGAACCATCGCTACTCTTTCCTTTCAACAACATTGGCCTGTTTGCTTTAGGTGTTTTCCTCGGACAAGGCAAGCTTTCCTTTCAGCTTTAGGGACAAACTTTTCACTTGCTTTTGCTTCCGCTCGGGTTGTACCAGTCACACATTTCCACCTGGACAGTCTCTCAGCTTCACTTCAAATTTCTGCCACATGAGATGTCTAGACTATCTAAAATAATCTCTGACTATGACAAGTTTCTTTTTCTTCATGATCTTTTATTTCTGCCTAATGTACATGTGTTTATTTACACATTCATTATCTCTTTATATGAGGGTCTAGTATCTCTGTATGGGTGACTTACCACTTGTATTACTTGGCTTAGACTGCTGTAACAAAATAGCATAAACTAGATAGTTGAACAGAAATCTGTTTTCCTGTAGTTCTGGGTGCTGAGTGCCTGAGATTTAAAGACTGTACCTAGTCTTTTCAGTCTCTGATGAGGAACCCTTTTTGGCTTAGAGGGATAGCCTTCTTTTTGTGTTCGCTCATAGCCTTTCTGTGGTGTGTGTGTGTGTGTGTGTGTGTGTGTGTGTGTGTGTGTAGAGAGAAAGATCGTCTGATGTCTCTTCTAAGTTGGCTAACCCTATAGAGTCAGGACCCCACCTTTATGACCTTTGATTACTTCCTGGGAGGTCCTTTATCCCCTTTGGCTATTAGAGTTTCAACATAGAGTCTATAGTATACCACTCTGAATGTACCTGATTTTGTAAACTAAGCAGGCTTGGGCCTCATTAGTACTTGAATAGGAGAGCTTCAATGTAGTAGTTTTGGAGGACACATTCAATCCATAAGACTATTGTAACTTTAGTGCCTGCCACATAATAGGATTCTGAGAACTAATTGAACTAACAATGTTTTTCTAAAGCACCGTGCTTAATGAGTGCATGATTTAGCATTTTCATCCCCCACTTCCATGTTAGGGTCAAATTTAGGGCCTTGTATATGGAAAGCAAGCACTCTGCCTTTTAGTTACATTCTTAGCCCTTCTACAACTTTTTTTTTGCATATGTGTGTGATGTGCACGTTTGTGTGTATGCATGTTCACAAATACGTGCTTATATAGAGAGGCTCACAGGATGTCAGGAGTCCTCTGTTTCTCTCAGTTGAACACAGAGTCCGCCATCATAGCTAGTCTTGCTAGCCACTTTGCTCCAGGATCCTGTCTTGTTACCTTCCAGGCACTGGAATTAGGGGTTGGCCACCACACTCACCCCGCATTTATGTGAATGTTGAATATCCAAACCTTGGCCCTCAGGCTTGTGTGGCAAGCACTTTATCTACTAAGCTATTTTCTCAGCTTCTGACTTTAATTTAGTCAAGTCTGCTGTGTGTGATGATCATTCTTACAACTCTTTTTTTGTGTGTGTGTGTGTGTGTGTGTGTGTGTGTGTGTGTGTGTGCGTATTCATCTATACAGGCATGTGTGGAGGCCAGAGTTTTACCTCAAATCTTCAAATTATTCCTGATTGAAACTTTTATGTATAGATTCCTAGAATTGTATAATATTAGATAAGTATTTGAGCTATAATTTGGCCATTATGTTTAAAACAGTTACCAAAGATTGGTTTCTACTGAATCTTGAAAGCATCCAGATAGGACCGAGTTTAAAACTTTAAACATTTTATGGGGCTGGAAAGATGGCTCAGCAGTTAACTCTTGCAGAGGACCCGGGTTCAAGTCCCAGCACCCACCTGGCAGCTCACAACCATCTGTTAACTCTAGTTCCGGGGGATCTGATGCCCTCTTCTGATCTTTGCGAGTGTTGTACGGCATGGGTGCACTTACAGACATGCAGGCAAGACACTCATACTCATTGTTCTTAAAAAGAGAGCAAGATTAGGAATCAGTGATGTCTGTCACAGTGCTCTTTATACCTGGGTTCTCTTTGCATCACTTTTTTTTTTTTTTGGAATTTTCCCCAAGTGTCTAGTAGAAAAGGCAAATGCAGCTGTTTCTGTGTCCTGTTCTGAATCCTGATGCCTTCATTTTGGTAATGCATTTATAGTGTGTGCTTGAGTGAAGCAAAGATTGCATTCATTCCCTTTATTTTAAAAAAAGTAAGTTCTTCATTTTTATTTATTTTATGTGTTTGCGTGTATTGCCTGCATGTAGGTAAGTACACCCGTGTTGTGCAATGCCCATGGAGGTCAGAAGAGGCTGTCAGATTCTCTGGGACTGGAGTTACGGACAGTTGTCAGCTGCCATGTGGGCGCTGGGACTCAAACCCGGGTCTTCTGCAAGAACAACTAGTGTTCTTAACCGCTGAGCCATCTCTCCCGCCTCGTAGGTTTTTATATCTAACTTTCTTAAATACTTTTCTGTGTTTTTCATTTAATCCTCATAAAAACTCTGAAGAAGTAGTCAGTTCACATGAATGAACTGAAGAAACCCAAGAAAGGTAGTTTTCTTTTTTCTTTTTTTTTTTTTGTCTTTTTGAGACAGGGTCTCCCTGAAGCCACATCTGGCCTGGATTCACTATAGATGCCAGGCTGGCCTTGAACTCACAATGCTGGGATTAAAGGCGTGCACCACCACACCCAGCACGAAAGGTGGTTTCTTATGTTGAAGTGTTCTAAAAGTACACTAATGATACTGTGGTCTTTAATTTGAACATTTTAAAAGATTTTTTTTCTTTTTTGCTTCCTCAGATTTCTCTCAGTACTTGCTTTCTCCCCCAGATCTTTGATGGCCTACTAGATGGTACTCCAGAAAATTCCTACCCATCTCTCAGCATGAGACAGCCCCAAAAGACTGTTTATTCTTCATGTTCACACCCATGTTGGCCACAGAGCCTGTTAGAAGGATGGAAGAGTCCAGGGTACACAAGATGAGTTAAAGTTCTTCACATGTAGTTACAGGAAGGAGTTTGTGTCACCAACTTTCCATCACCTTTTTCTTCTTGAGGCACAACTTTGGTGAGCCCAGGTGAAGAATAGCTTATTAGTTAAAAGCATGAATTCTGCAATGAGACTGCCTGTATTGGAATCTTGACTCCCTTTCTGTCTCAGTTTTCTCATCTGTCCAGTGGTGACAATTATACTACCTACGGGGCTAAGGACAGCTCAGTTGGTAGAATACTTTGCCTACCATATACAATGCCCTAGATTCCATCTCCAGCATCACATAAATCAGGTGTGGTGGCATAAGCCTGTAATCCCACCGCTTGGGAGGTGGAGGCAGGAAGATCAAGAGTTCAGGGTCACATAGAGTATTTGAGTCTGGACTGTGATACATGAGAGCCTGCCTAAAACAAAATACTGGGCCTGGGTGTGGTGCCACATGGCCTTAATTCCAGCACTTGGGAGGCAGACCAAGGAGATCTCTGTGAGTTCAAGGCCAGCCTGGTCTACAGAGTGATTCCCAAAAAAGCAGGGGCTTCAGGGAGTTCCTGTCTCAAAAAAGACAAAAAGAAAAACAAAACAAAACAAAAAAAACCTGAGGCTAGGGAGATTATTCAGCAGTTAAGAGCACTGGCTGCTCTTACAGAGGACCTGGGTTCGGTTCCCAGCACCTGTATGGCAACTAACAACTGTAACTAGTTCCAGGGGATCTGACGCCCTCTTCTGACCTTCTTACGAATTGCGTAACATGAGTGAACTTACATACATGCAGGCAATACACTTACACACATAAATATAAAAATACAATAAACATTTAAAAAGTATTACCTGTGCTATAGAGTTATTGATGGAATAAGTGAATTAATATACATAAAATACCAGGTAGTAAGTACTTGCTATTATAAAATACCAGGTAGTAAGTACTCGCTATTATGTCATTGTTCCATGGATGCAGCTATTAAATTTACTGAAACAAAACTGAGAGCATCTGTTTAGAAAAGTATTGATGTAATATCCATTATGGAAATAAGTTTGGCAGTTCCTCAAACATTGAAAAAAGAACTACCATGTGACCCAGCAATTTCACCTAGAGAGCTCCACACCCTGCCATAGAGTTAGCTGTACACCTGTGTTTATTGCTGCTCTATTTACTATAGCAAGGAAATAGAACCAACCTAGATGTCCATCAACAGATGGATAATGAATATCTGAGACATATATAAAATGACTATTACTCAGCTCTGAAGAAAAATAAAATCACAGAATTAGAATGTATAATATTAAGTGAGATCACCTAATCTCAGAAGGAAAAAAAAGTTCTTTCTCATATGTGCCTCTTAGCCTATAATGTATATATAAGTGTGTGTAAACAAATTTCCATGTAAAATGTAGTGTAATATTTTGAAAGGAAACCACAAAGGGGTAATATTAGAAGATAAGGGAGGATGGAATGCAGGAAAAAGGCACATGACCTGGGAAGGAGGAAATAGGGTTGTCATTTTTCTGGCTTAACTTCCAGAGATTTGTCATTTTTGTGGTGGACAGTGCAAAACCTAAGTGGAAGGTGTAGAACCTACATGAAGCTCCACTCAGAATGGCCTGTTCTAACTTTGGAGAAGTTCACTGAGATGCAGAGTTTGGTCTGGGCAAGGGTGTTTGTTCGAGTAGCCACCTTAATCTAGCCCTGTGATGCTTTTGTGAGTTAATTACAATAAAGTGATTTTTATATTAAAAAAAAAGTATTACCAGGTGAGGTGGTACACATCTTTAATCCCAGCACTTGAGAGGCAGAGACAAGTGAATCTCTTGAGATTAACCCCAATCTGGTCTGCATAGGAAGTTCCTGGCCAGCTAGAGCTACAGGGAGACCCTGTCTCAAAAAAAAAAAAAAACCCCATACTGTCATACCTTTAACGTGCAGTCGAAGGTCAGTAATTGTAAGGGGTAGCATAATTTACTAAAAGTCAAACTTAGAAATATTGAGGGTCTTCATCCCTAAATTTGTATGTTTGCTTTTAGTTGTTGATACTATTGTAACTAAATTGTAGAAGTAAATTTCCTCAGCGAACTTAATTAAATGCCTGTATAGAAATAAGTATGTCGTTGCTGTTGGTTGTTGAGTTGTCAGCAATAGAATTCTGTTTATCTAAGAATGAATAAATGGAGTGAAAATCTCAGTGGAACCAGAGAAGTAATATTCTGTCTCCATTACTTACCTAGTAGGTTGAGCTTACTAGGAAAAGTACACAAGGCATTATTTAAATGAAAATGAAAAATGAAGTTAATATCTTGAACGTTTTTCCTTAAGGACCAGAGTAACGCGGAGAAGCACGCAGATGGAATTATAGTAAGTCTAATGTGACTGTTTTGTTTCCCTTTACACTTGCAGAGCATTATAACCAGTCATGTCAGGAGAAGCCTGAATTTCGATTCATTTTTCAACGCAAATTCCTCTATTTTCACCTACTCACTGCTTTTTGTTTTTAACTCTTGCAATTTTCCTTGCGCTCCTAAAGTCAGCCATCTTTGGACAATCACTTGGAAGGGAAATGATAATCTTAAAATTGTTCTGAATTGGTTCTGATTGAATCACTCTGCATGTGTTAACTTGATGCCTTAATTTGCTTTCACAAGACATTACTGTGTTGGCTTTCTTATCAAACCTTTTTTTCTTAGATGAAAACAGAGGGAGGGGTCTGCAATATTGAAACGTACTTTAACCTATTTAAAAGTGTTTACATGCTCCTGTATTTGTGTTGTCATTAGTTTTGTGCTATAGTGCATTCTCGTTGGAACAAGTAACGTGAGTTCTTTCACTTACAGCTGTTTTCTTACTCTTCCACCTTAGCTTTTTACCCTTTTGCTTTTAAAGTAGCTGGGCGTGGTGGTGCACGCCTTTAGTCCCAGCACTCGGGAGGCGGATCTCTGAGTTCAAGGTCAGCCTGGTCTACATAGTGCGTTCCAGGACAGTTGGGGCTACAAGGAGACCCTGTCTCAAAAAGACCAAAACATTAATTAATTAATTAATTAATTAATTAATTAATTAATTAATTAAAAATAAAGAAGAAATAGCTGTGGCTAGATTTCCCAACTGATCATAAGAGCGTAATACTTTATGGTTTTGCAGTTGGGGAGATGGCTCATTGGTGAAGTAGTTGCCACACAACCATGAGAACTTGAATTTGGATTCCCAAAACCCACATAAAAATGGTGGCACACTCAGAGCCATAGCATTGGGAGTAGGGTGAAATCAGGTAGATCCTGTCTCAGAAAATATAATAAAGAGCAATAGTTGACAGGAGTGTGTTT